AGTTGTCACTGCGTAAGCCCTAAATATAGTGATGGTTAAAAAAAGGGGACTTTCTTGAACTTTTATCACTTGCATTATAGTCTCTTAATTAATTCTATTATTTTAATGCCTTTAATTATTCATCTTTTTATTACTTCGCCTATATTGGCCTTTAGAAAATGTCTGCCATCTTGGATTTTTCGGTCATATTGGAAAGGGGATAATAGGAATGCCCTCCGTCGGTTAGTCCGTCCGTCCGATCAAACATTTTGAGTTTAGGGGCTATATAACAGTAAAGAGAACAAAAGAGAACAATAGGTTCATTCCGTGATCAAAGGGTTTAGGGGCTAGTAGCCCTTACGAAAACAAAGAATATAACAAAGAAAATAGCCCCTAAAGCCAAAATATGTGAACGTCCGTCCGTCCGCCCGTCTGTCTGTCTGTCCGTCCGTAACACTTTTGTGTCCGCTCCATAACTTTTAAACCACTGAAATTTGTTTTGAAATAAATTTTTACAAATACTCACCATTATGAGACGATGTGCAGAGCGCAATTATTGGGTTGCTACCCCAGAGGTCAAGGTCACACTTAAGGGTCAAATGTTAAAAACTCTTCATTTCATAATTCATAGTCTAACTTTAACTTTAAATGACATCTCCTCATAAACCTCTCAGACAATTTCATCCAAGCTTCACAGCAATTTTTCTCTGGTAGCCAACTTTAAGAATAGTTAATAGAATATATACCCTTTCATTTAAGCGATAACAGTCAGAGAAGAGGGGATTATACTATACATACTATACAGGCCGCATAGAATGTTAGCTTATTGAAAAGTTAAATGCATAAATCCTGATCGTTCAATTATGATTAAAACATGTAAAACTCTACTCATGCATACATAAATTCAATATTAAGACAATAAAAAAATAAGAAAACAAAGATTGAGATTAATTCTCGATACGAGTGAAACAGCGAAATTTCAAAGTGAATATATTTATTAGATTTTTCTAATGCCAGGATAAAAGCTAAAGTAACTAAATCAAATGTTAATATTTTATAAACACCAATACACACTGAAATTGCCTATTGTAAATTTAATTGGTCATTTTCTAGTTATCTGTGTTATTTTCTGTCATTTAAAAAATTCCGGCGTATTTATGACAAACATGAAAATAAGATTGCCAATGTTTTTTTTAATGATTTTTTTCAAGCTTTATTAGAACAATAGAAGAATACATTCTGTCAATACTTACTGGTTTTTGTTTTCATTATGCCGTATAAAAAATCTTTCAAAGAACCAGTGAAGGATATTATCTTACAAATATTCCGGGAAGAATTTGCAACAGACGATAAGATAATTTTAATATTACAAATCTATTCTTATGATTATAAAAATAAAGTTAGACCTTTTCTTAGAAGCTTATTTCATAAATAAATAGATGTGTTATATAAGCGCAACTGGGCCGTAACATATTTATTAACAGGGTGCATATGCTGTATATACAAGCGGCACTTGGCTGTGATATCATAAATCATAACATTACATCAGATTACGTCACTTATTTTAGTTGTCAAAATGTTTATGGTCCGAATTTGGTTATGGATCACCCTAGGGACTTAATTTGTCATGCCTTACTGATTTGATTCTTCAGAGTCCTACAAACTGCCACAGTCAAAATACGTAAATTTCTAATACAGTTAATACATGTTACGAATTTAAAGTAGAGTATGAATTAAAAAGTATCAAGTTAAAAATATCACTTTATCAGCTTAAATATATTGGTTTGATGTACGATTTTTTTGAGAGTGCTTTTTTTGCCGACACAAATAGTATACAGTCATGTACATTCAAAAGAATTTTTACTTTTTATGCCTAACTTTTTTTTGAAACAACATAGATTTATATTGTTGTTTTTCTTTGTCTTAGTAATGCTTAAATTATTATAATTTTTAATCAACCAGTATCTTGCAATTAATTATTACGCAGCCGTTTTTCGATACTGCAGAATGCTTACATATTTGAAACTCAAAATATCTTTTGGGGTATTGTATATTAGCAGCGACATATAGATACATCATCTACATATCTGGTATCAGCAAGTTAGTACGATTTAACTGCCTAGTAAAATTTTCATTATAAAGAATCTAACGAAAATGGTAATCATGACCAGTTACTCAGCCATATGGTCTACTAGTAAAACAAGTCGTTTACCTTATTATAGTAAACATTTTTATTCATTTGGCCATCCTTTTTATTTAATATCTTCAATTTTCAATTATACAAAATTTTATTCAATCTGCCAATCTTACAAGAGAAAGAAGTTATCTCCTATAAATGTACTTAATCATATTGGCGATGTCCACCGTATCCCCCAATGACGTTATCCAAGGGCGACAACTTTAATACGGTCTTAAATGAATGGCCCTATAATTCCAAGCAAAACTCTGGTTGCCATGGAAACCGAAAGAAAAAACTTAAAATATCTTTTTTAGAAAACAGAAAGGGTTAGAGCTTAAATATCTTGCATGATACATCATCTAGTCAGTGTCTACCAAGTTTGTTCAAATAAAAGATCTTGGGTAAAAATTGGCCCTGCCCAAGGGGATCGTTGTTTTTCCCTTAATGTATATAGTAGAAACTTAAAAAATCTTTTAAAACCCCCAAATAGCTACAGCTCAGATTTTTAGGATGAAACATCTTCTAATGGGTGTCTATCAAGTTTGTTCAAATAAGAGTCATTGGGTTAAAATTGGCCCCGCCTCAGGGGTCTTTGATTTTCCTTATACTGTATGTGTAGAAATATTCGCGGGCTTCAAATTTTCGCGATCTTCGCGCTGACATTCGATCCGCGAATTCATGTTCAGCGCGAATATTTCTACACAAATAATTTCTTAATAGTCATATTTACGCGCATCTATAGAACAATGAATATCAGTGTGTAAACGGCTGCCATAAGATGGTATCCGAGGGATTTTACTGTTATATAAACTGTACATGTAACATTCAGCTCTGTATTTAAATCAGTTTGCTAGTGTATTATTGTTTGACTGATATGATTATCGGATTCTTGTATAAGAATATACATGTTTGAACAATACCATTATTGTTTGACTGATATGATTATCGGATTCTTGTATAAGAATATACATGTTTGAACAATACCATTGCACCACGCTATTTATTTCATAGTCTGAGTCTTCGCATCTGATCAGATAATATTTTGTTTTTCTAAACAAACAGTACAAACAACACAAATATTAACGATTTTAACTGATGAAAACGTGATAAACAAAACACAATTACTCAGTCAACATTTTAACAAATTCCGTGAAAAGATTATCATTCAGTGCTGTTTAAAACTGTGAAAAATCACGCACGTTAACGGACAATTCATTTGTTTGCCATCATTTGTCCGCTAGACAAATTGAATGTCTTTGTTCTGTACAATAGCGTATTGTTTGACACCAGGTGTTGAAAATAACTGTGAAGTCCCACAATGATTGATACGGGTAAAAAGTATGTAAAATTGCATAATCGTGTAAGAGTAATTTCCCTACTTTTTCAACCTGATGGATGTACGCGAATTTATGATTTTCTGCAGTCACCTCCGCGAATTCAAAATAGCGCGAATATTTGTATATACCCCCAAAATGGACCTTTCCGCGAAAATTTGCTTCCGCGAATTTAAATACACATACAGTATGTGTATTGTGAAAACTTAAAAAACCTTCTTTTAAATAACCAAAAAAGCTAAAGTTTAGATATAAAGCTTGTAATATCTTCTAGTGATTGTTTACCAAGTTTGTTCAATTGAAAGCCCTGGGGTTAAAACTGGCCCATCCGGGGGGAGTCATTGTTATTACCTATAAGTATACGTAGCCAAAACATAAAAAATCTTCTTATAAAACCCACAAACAGTTACGGCTTAGAAATTTATCATGAAACATCTTCTTATTGGTATCTACCAAATTTGTTCAAATAAAAGCCCCTAGTTTAAAATTGGCCTTTGCCCAGGAGCCTATATACAGGTGAGCGATTTCAAGGCCATCATGGCCTCTTGTTAAGATATTTTGGCAGAAATTATCACCATTGGCAGAGCACAATAATCAAATCACAACTCTGAAGGTTATGGTCACACTCATGGGTCTAATGTAAAAAAAACATCTATTTTCTATGTCCGCTCTTTATATTATTGACAATTCAAAGGTTTTAAAATTACTTGGCACAAATGATCGTCACCATGACACAATCTGCGGAATTCAACACCCAGGTTGCTACCCCCAAGGTCAAGGAGATATGTTCACCATAACTTTTTTTTACTTTATGGAAGATTTAAAAACACATGGCACAAATAATCGCCATCATGAGACTTTGTGCTTATGATATACATGGCATAACATCAATATCGTGGCTGTAAAAGGTTCACTGCAGAAGGCGATTTAGCTGTCCTTCAGACTGCCTTGTTTTTATTTAAAATTCTGTGTTTGTGTCTTATGTTTAACCAAATCAATCTCAGGCTTTTCCTACCTTAAAAAGTTTTATTTGATATATCACCCATTTATGAAAAAGAAATTTGGAGGCCATATAAGTGGTCACATTAAATGGCCATTGGTCAAGGTGAAGTTTATCCGTTTTGTATCCACTTTGATCAGATTCAGCATACCCTAAATAGGTAAAATAAACCAAGATACCAATTGTACTACAAAATGTCCCTAGTAGAGGATTAAATTCTCAAAATCAGTCCTGTCTTTTAAGGACAAATATTATTTCAGTTGTTTAAAATCATATTGGCTTAAACCCTTAAATCTTAACATTATGAAACATATGTTTGACATATCAAAAGAAATGAAATAAACAAAATATGGATTTTTGTGGCATAATGTAGCATGAAACTTATTTACAGCATTTAGATTGTGATAGGTTCAGATGACTTTCTTTAAGTGGGTCTTATAAATGGACCTGTATGATATGCATTTGTAATAGAATGTATAAAATGAATAATGAAAACGAATCAACGCACCGTTTTTCTGTCCATATTTAGGATAAAGTCACTATCTCCATCCTCCCCTTTCAATTGCAACATAAGCCTTGCATTTCCCTGGACAGGCTTACCGTAGACATATCTGTAAAGAACAAAGTTTGTATTTTTATTTACATATCTTTTTTGGTAGTTGTTACTAAATACGCTACCAGCGAGTTTCCAGCATTTATGAAGGAGCTTACATTCCTTCCTCATATTAAATACTCAACAGCTCACAACGTGATGAAGATGTAAATAATTTTATATAGTCTAATGCAATGTACTATTTTCTGGACATGAACTTCTACCTGGTATGAATTAAAAAAAAAATATATCATTTTTGTAGACTTTTGTAGAGATTTTTCAGGATTCTTCTCTTAAGAGCCTACTTTCCTTGTAAAAGCAGAGTTCGATTTCTCTTTTGGCAAGTCTCTGTTGCTCGGTACTAATATATCATACCTATTAACTTAGTCCATCGTCCTTATTTGGAAAAAAATGAATTAAACACCTAAACAAACTCAAAGGAAAACTTATTTCAAACTCTTATCTTTAAAAAATTAAAGAGTATATGGTATTCTTACTTGGCCGTAACTTTAACAGTTATCGACTTCGTGGTATTTAGGAGGAACTCAACGTCAACGTCAACGGTCACTCCGAACGTTGGAAGAACTAAAATCAATAAAAACTCGTTTTGCAAGAAAAAGCTACAGATCTTTCAACCAATTAGAATGCAAGATTTAAGTACGTAACCATTGAAAAGAAAAACAACATGTGATACCTTAGTGCAGCAAAAGAAAATGCAATGATTTAAGTACGTAACCAATGAAAAGAAAGGCAACTCGTGATACCTTAGTGCAGCAAAAGAACATGCAATGATTTAAGTACGTAACCAATGAAAAGAAAGGCAACTCTTGGTACCTTAGTGAAGCAAAAGAAAATACAATGTATTAAGCACGTTCCGATGAAAAGAAAGGCAACTCGTTATTCATTCGTGTAGCCATTGAGAATACAATCATGAACATTGTTATACAGTTTACGAAACCAAATGAAATGCAATACAGTTTTGGACACAGTGGTGGTAAAAAATCAAACCAAATAGGAAAGAAATATTGAAATTAGTTGAAAATGTCAAATAAGTGAATGTTTTGTTAGATGCAGTTCCGCATAAAACATAATTTCTGAAAATATTTAACAATTATGTTGTTATCAATTTTTGCGGAAAGGTCCACTTTGGGGGTCTATACAAATATTCGCGCTATTTTGAATTCGCTGAGTTGACTGCCGAAAATCATAAATTCGCGTAGACCACTCAGGTGTCAAACAGTACTCTTTTGTACAGAAATAAAAAGACATTATCTAGCGAACAGATTATAGCAAACAAAAGAATGCCCGTTAACGTGCATAACTTTTCACAGTTTGAGTCATAAACATCTTATCATCTGATCAGATCATGTTTTGATTTTTCTGAACAAACAATTAAAAAACACAAACAAACGATTTAAATGACGAATAACTTGGAAAACAAAACACAATTACTCAGTAAAGATTTAAATAAAAAGTGTGAAAGCATATCACACACTGATATACATTGTTCTATAGAAACGCGAAAATATGACTATTAAGAAATTATTGGTGTGGAAATATTCGCGCTAAACATGAATTCGCGGATGGAATGTCACCGCGAAGATCGCGAAAATTTGAAGCCCGCGAATATTTTTACACATACAGTATTTTAATAAAAACCGACTGAATTTCAAAGTGCAGTACATTTTGACTCTGAAACACTAATAAAAATGTCTTTATAATTTTATTATGAATTTAAGACGACGGTTTAATTTCTTCTTATTGTTGTTACTTATGTTACAATCACTCTTCTTATAACAAATCTCACAATCTGGAACATAATATAACCTGAAGTTTATACCCATCATTTAACACCAGATCTACTGGTTTACATATCTTGCACATTGTAGTAGTATCCAAGAGTTGATTATAACCATATTGGACATAATTCATAGCGGTAGTAGACTTCTTTTCTATATAATAATACTATATGTTGATATAATAAAAGTAACAAATGTCAGAATTAAATTATTAAGATAATTTACCATATTCCCGAACTTCAAAGAGGGTGTGTGACTCGGTCTCGAACTAAAAAAAAACAAGATGTCTATATCTAGCAAATATGGAATTCATTTTATCTTTAATTGAAACCGAAGTATAAATGTGATAATAACAATTTTCGTAAACAATCAAATTAAACTTAAAATCAAAATGAATCGTGTATGGATTTTAAATTCCCGTATGTTAACTCTACATAATCATATACTTTATTGCTCACATACAATCTCGATGTAATATTACGACATGTTCAACATGTAGCATTTCCAAAAATGCTAGAAGTCGCCGTTTAGCCAGGTACAGTTTTCATAGTTTTGCGTGAAAAAGGCTGCTTTCTGAACATCCGAGTTAATGTTTATATTAGTGTTCAAATCTTACTAGGTCATTCAATTATTCTTAATATTAATGCAATTTTGTAAGAATTTCTTTTCCTACACGATCTTCATTGTTTAAAAATAAATATGCCTAAAAAATACCTGTCCACCATAATAGGCTCTTGCAGTCCAAATTCCCAACTCAGGGTAAGGGGGTAGTTTGAATGCATTTTCAAAGAATCCTGTATCGCTATAGTTAAACCACCTTCTTCCCAAGGTTAAACTTGAAGGACTCTGAAACGTAAAAAGGGTTAAACAGTTTGTTTGCCATTGATCATCGTTGTTAGACTAATTATTGAACACGTGTCCTTCGCGCCAAAACACTTTCCAAGTCTGAGTATTTGGCTTTCGTGGTTAAAACACGGCAGTGAAATATTTTTTATCTGTCAAAAAGGATGGGGGATACCTTGGGAGTAAGGAAAGGACAAATTATGAAAATTGCCTTGGTGTAAATGAATCCGCCCAAAAGGGATCATGATGAGTATAGCTTCTCTCATGTCACATAACACCGGCTTAATCAGTATTCATTCCTAAACATTTTCTTTATAAAATTTCTATATTGAGGTCTACAAAATTAACTGTGAACTATGATTTTATTATTGAGGCTTTTTGATATTGAGGTCTACAAAACTAATTGTGTACTATGATTGTATAATTGAGGCATATTTATATTGAGGTCTACACAACAAACTGTGAACTATGATTGTATAATTGATGCATTTTTATATTGAGGTCTTCGAATCTAACTGTGAACTATGATTGTATAATTGAGGCATATTTATATTGAGGTCTACACAACTAAAGGTGAACTATGCTTGTAAAGTTGAGACATTTTCATATTGATGTCTACATAACTAACAGTGAAGTACATGTTTGATTGTATAATTAAGGCACTTTTATATTGAAGTCTACAAAACTAACTGTGAATTATGATTGTATAATTGAGGCATTTTTATATTGTGGTCTACACAACTAACGTTAAACTTTGATTGTATAATTTAGTCATTTTTATTATTGAGGTCTACAAAACTAACAGTGAACTACATGTTTGATTGTATAATTAAGGCACTTTTATATTGAAGCCTACACAGCTTACTGTGAACTATGATTGTATAGTAGAGGCATGTTTATATTGAGGTCTACACAACTTAAGGTGAAATATGATTGTATAATTTAGACATTATTATATTGAGGTCTACACAACTAACTGTGAACTATGATTGTATAATTGAGGCATTTTTATATTGAGTTCTACACAACTAAAGGTGAAATATGATTGTATAAGTTTGATAAGTTTATTTCAATAGTTTAGGCATATTGATATTATGGTCTACACAACTAACGGTGAACTATGATTGTATAATTAAGGCGTTTTTATATTGGGGTCTACAAAACTAACTATGAACTATGATTGTATAGTTGACGTATTTTATATTGATGTCTGCACAAAAATAGGTGAACTATGATTGTATAATTGAGGCATTTTCATATTGACGTCTACTCAAATAACTGTGAACTATGATTGTATAACTGAGGCTTATTTATTTTGACGTCTTTAAAACTAACAATGAACTATGATTGTATAATTGAGGCATTTTTATATTAAAGGTCTACAAAACAAGCTGTGAACTATGATTGTATAATAAAGGCATTTTATATTGTGGTCTACAAAACTTACTGTTAACTATGATTGTATAGTTAAGGCATTTTTATATTGAGGTCCACACAACGTAAACTGTGACTGTATAACTTAAGTATTTTAATATTGAGCTCAACACAACTAACGATGAACAATGATTGTAGACCTACAATGGTGCCATTTCGATCAAGTGGCTGTGAACTAGTAAAATATATCAAGGCAGGATAGGTGCGCTACCTAGCAATATCTTTTATACACGTTTCGCGTTATGTGACGCCGTCGTTACAACCCCTTAGTGTTCAGCTTTATATGTCATTCAATGTAAATGCCGTATTTCTTTAAAAAAATATGTATGTTCATTTTCGTCGAGACTATATCAAATTTCGATCCTAGACGCCTTCTAGTTTGACTGTGCTTCATAGAACCACATTCTTAAAAATGAACAGGGGCTGACAATATAAAGTGAATATGTATACTTACAATAATATCCATGCCTACTTGCCAACCATTGACAGCTTTCAATGACTCGTCAAGTGCTAGAGCTCTTATTTTAACTGAAAAAGGAAAACACTTTGGGGTTTTTAACATGCCGATCTATGTGATATGCAAATTAATTCAGCCTTAAAATTATTTATCTGCAGTAAGATATCGACATTACCTTAATCATTGGAATTTAGCAATAAGAGACAATCTATAAAAGAACTGTGATATATTGAAGCAAACAGCCGTAAGAAATTTGAATAACATTAATACAGATCTCTATTTAAAAAACACACAAAATAACCATAAAAAAATTACAATAAAACATCTATACCCGGTTTTAGAGGTGTATATATCGGTTTGTCCGTCTGTACGATCAGGTAACCTGAATGATAGCTCAGAATTATTTCCCTTGATTGCTGCGTTCCGTTCCATTCCGAAAATAGTTTGACTTTGCGTGGCTTGTTCTGAACCATGGCGGTAAATATATCGTCTTCGGTGACTTTAACAGTCGCATAAGCTGGGGTTTCTAAAATTAAAAAAAAACAAATAAACAATTCATATTCACGGCCGTTGTGTCCGATTATCAAATTAAAACCCCAATATTAATTCATATTTGCGGGTTTTAATTGAGTCATACGGCCATAGTGCCCACTCTTTAATATATGTAATATTGGACAGAATTGAAGGCTAAAACTAGTCAAGTGAAATTGTTACTGAATATTACCTTGGTCGTTTACAATGACGTCTTTCTGCGAAAATTGTTTCCCGTTGTATTCTAGCCAAACCTATATCAATATAAATATGAAAAATTAAACGGTAACAAAATGCAAATCTAAAATACCAAACACAATTACATATGTTTATAAAACTCTAAACTAAGCCTGCAAAAAGAGGAGAAAAAAGACATGGTATGTGATTGCAATTGTGGAGTACAATACTGGATTATTTTAAAGGCTGTCAAATCTATATTGGACGTGGCGCTAGCTGAGTCTGATATAGGTTTTATATCTATATGTAAGAGTCCAATAGAAGCTGTATTATTCTCAACCATGTTTAAAGACCTCTTTATTTCAGACCACAAATTTCGACAATTTCACAGAACTTTCTTAATTTTGTTACAATAATGATTTGATATGAACCTTTTGGACAATTAATTAAAAAGTGAAAACGAGGCTAGATAGGTTGCGATATAGATTTGATATGCATCTTTTGTACTCTTGAAATGAAAACGAGACTATATGGGATGTGATATAGATTTGATACGAGTCTTTCGTACTCTGGAAATGAAAACGAGGCTAAATTAATAAGATTGGATCGAATGATGATTTACTTTTAAGGTGTGAATAAATATCATATAAAAGATATTACACTGTTGTTCGATAAATTAAAATTATATCACACCTTTATCCAGTATCTTAAAATATATACATCTGCTGTAGCGTATACTACAAAGTGTCTCAAAGCTGTTTCATTTATGTGTGACTCACTTCCATTATAATTCAAATTATATACAGAATTTATTTTAGTTCGATTGTGTAGGAAGCTTTAAGCTTATAGGCGCACTTTCGAATCCGTTCCTGGAACCAACCAGTACTGAACAATGAGTGTAAAGTTTCTTGCTCAAGGAAACAACGACTTGCCCCTGCTGGGGTTTGAACCCATGCGGCTAGCGATCATAAGATTACTTGTCCGACGCGTTAACCACTCGGCCATGTCGCCAAATTATATTTGATGGCCATTGAATGTGTAACATTACTGTAAAGAATAAAAAATCACAATTGTACTTGACAATTATTTTCTTGAACTGTAATGGAATATGTGTTACAATGACGGGAAAGAAAATAATAAATTACCTTAACATGTGCATTCCTTTCACCGAAAACACTGACAACAACACTCTCATCTTGGTCAAATCTTAATACGTTTGGGGCTATGACAAAGTAGTAGCCGCTGAAAATGTATCATAGTTTAAGATAATAATTATTTTAATTCATTGATAAAAGAGCATGGTTGTGTGTGTAGTCAACTGTTTTGTTATCCAAGTAAAATGTCACAGAATCGCTCAAAATAAATAAATAAATAAATAAATAAATAAATAAATAAATAAATAAATAAAGAAAGAAATAAAGAAATAAAGTAAAATAGAATATGAAAAGTTGCCAAATGGAACCGACCAAATATTTTCCAAGCTAAACCCCGGTACAAACAATTTTTTACGGTGCACTGCCGATGAAAAATAAGTTAAACTGTTTCCCTTTTTTAAAAAGTTTATGTGTATTTTTGTAACCCCGGTTTTTACTGGGAAAGCCCAAAATATTTTTATTTTCAGTAACCGATCATCTCGACCACTTACCAATCTGGTCATATAAACACAGATATCATGATCACATACGCTTGGGTCAGATTCTGCCCCTAACGTGATACGCCTGTGTTAACACTCTGTTAAAAAATATTTTAATATAACATGAATGGGACATCTGTATATAACGATAAAACTTGTTTTCAAACAATGTTACACATATATCAAGTCTCAAGAAAAACGAAAGCAACAACAACAACAAAATAAAACCAAAAGAATACCGGGTAATAATAATAATAATAATAATAATAATAATAATAATAATAATAATAAAAAGATATATATAAGATTCAATTTTATTACATTTGAAGAAACGTATATAAACGCAGACAATCAAGTTAAAGAAATATAAGATGATGTTTTTGTTTGTTTTTTTTTTTTGTTTTTTTGTTTTTTGTTTGTTTTTTTGGGGGGGGGGGGGTTGTTGTTCTTTTTATTTATTTATTAATTATTATTTTTTGTTGCCATGTTATTTTTTTTGTGTCCATTACCTAGGTTCCGAAATAACTGTCTAATACAACATAGTGTTTGAATTTATTCTTTTTCCAATAGGATTGCAGTATTTCAAATGAATCGTAACACATTTACTTTGATAAATCGGCACACTGTTAATCAGTTTAGTAAATCTCGACTGTTTATAAAAATAATATAAAACACTAAGCAGGTTAATGTTTATTAGTACGTATTTACAAAATCAAATTGGTCGTGCGGCCTCGTCGCGCCTGACCAATTTAATTCTGTAGAAGCTTACTAATAAATATTAACCTATATAAATGATAGGATCATTTCTTGGAACATAATCATGAAACAGATGTTAGAAACTTAATACTTCTAGCAATTCCTCCGCATTATTAAATTTCTCAAATTTTGTTTACTAAATAATAATTTACCTACTTTACAGAAAACGCACTTGTCTTAGATATGGCGACCTGATTGATATATAAACGGTCACATTTCCAAGCATCAGCGAAAAAAACAACAACAATAACAACAAAAACAAACAACAACAAAACTATTCTATAACTGATATCATTTGTCTTATTTAAATAAAAAAAATGTCATATTAAAGGCTTATTATGCCCCTCTCCCAAATGCCTTTATTTTCATTTCTGAAAAGCTTTTTATTTTTTGTACCTTGTTAAAGTTTGCAAAAAGATGCTAATAAGCCATTTATCTGATCCTTATTTTTTCTTTTGTTGCAAATCTGGCAGTTAGTACAATAAAAGTGATAACGTTTTATGTATGGAAGTCAAAATACAACTGTGTTTAAATTGGATACTTTTGTAAAAAAAAAACATTTAATATTTCACGCTATTTTTGTCAAGTACCAAACATCAAACATATATACAAGCTCTGAAAGTATGAGTACGTAAACGACGTAAATCCCATGTGTTATTATTGTTTCAGAGGTGAATGTGCAATTAATAAATTAAAATTTCTTTTTGAATTCCCTTAACTATGTATGATCATTTACACGAGAAAATGAAAAATATTGTACCTGCTATGCACTCCGGAAACTAAAATCCCTAATAAAAAAGATAAAATCAACATCTTTTCGCCTCCACTGCTGGACATAACTGATGACTCTTGTACATTTAACGAGCATTTATCGTAAGCAGCGTCCCGGATTTGAGCGAAATTTAGGACAAACGCACTAATTTCTGGGAAAAACTTTCGCCGTAATTTCGTTTAGGCCATTCATAACAATAATCGGTTTTATGGTAAACTGTTAATTGTTTCTCTTTTAATTAAATAAAAAATTACTCTGTAGGACGTGTTTTAAAGAAAATGTAGAGTAAAAAAATATCCTGAAATAAACCAATGCTTGTGAGTTTATTGTAAATTCATTATATGTTAGCACATACTTTTCAAAGTTAATTTTTCAGATATTTTGGCTCATCAGGAGACATGAAGCGTCATAATGCGTTATGCTTAGATTGCTTTATAAAATAGATTCCTGCAATGCAGGCTCAAGTAGTTCCAATGTCAAAAACCATCGCACAACACCTGCAAAGCATTGCAAAGCCGATTTCTTTATACGAAAAGCAAATAACGAAAATCGGATTTATCGAATCAGACGTATCCTCTGTGCAAGAATATCCCTATTTTCGTGCATTTTTAATACCTTTAGATTCATTTAATTTTGTTTACTGAAAAACTGTCTTGTATTTATTTCTTATCTACTAACAATTGATTATTGTGTACCATGTCCGTACCATATGTTTTATCAATCTGAAAAGAGGTCTGGACTGTGGAAAAGTATTTGATTACTTGAAAGAAAAGATAACAAATACAGCAAACAACAGCAACACAAAAAGCCAGCCGGCACATTTGTATTTTGATTTTTATATTCAATATAATAAATGAATGAATGAATGATTAAATGAATGAATGAATGAATGAATGAATGAATGAATGAATGAATGAATGAATGAATGAATGAATGAAACACACTCAATCACTCACTCACTAAACAAAAATTACAAAAACTGCAAAACATTTTCAGTAAAGTTTAATCTTGAAATTGTATTCCTTCCTTTTATAATTTATCTTCACATTATACCGATTCGCTGACGGGAACCAATGTTTTGTTTCCCATGATCCTAGAAATATCATATTTCAGTCTTCCAAGATGTTCATACAACTCTGCAAGGTAATGAACGCTTTTTCCTATTAATAAAGTTTTTCTAAGAAAATTCTGATGAAACTTTTCTCAGTCATGGCTGATTTTGTTGCATAGTTGAAAATATCCTTCGTTTTCATTCGCAAGTTGAAGTGTAGGTCATTTACTGTTTATTTGTACTTGACCTAACCCTTCACGCCAAATTAGAACAGAGGCAATATGTTTTCTTTCTTTTCTAAACTGTAACAAAATATCAAAAAATAAAAGTATTGGAGAAATAAAAATGATAGCATTTCTATGGCAGTATGGGCTTTTAATCATTATTATGTTTCTTAACATTGATTATTTTATACATCGTTTCTAACAGTATTTTCTTTTGTAAAACATATATTATAAACATTGTTTTGTATAATATTATGATGGTGCATTTTGAACTATATCGTTTAATAGAACATTTAATTTACATAAAACATTGTCCTGTACTGTATAATTATTAATAATAATTATAAAAAAGATAAAAAGATAAATGTATAAACAAATTAATGAATAAATAAATAAATATATAAATAAGTAAAAAACATACATAAATAAATAGATAAATAAATATTTTAATTAATTAATGAATGGAAAAAATAATGATAACAATAATAATAATAATGATAAACTTATGTGGATAAATGAATATAAGTATAGAAATAAATAAATTAATAAATAACATTTGTGTTGTTAATTTTATAATACTTTCATTTGTTTTTGAATAGCAAAGACATTGTTTTATGTACGAAATATGCCTTATCCATAGCACAATTTTTACAATAGGTTTATCTTTAAAGTCTGGGCCATACAACCACAGAATAACATCAAGAATGAGGCCTGGACATATAATTTGTGTATCGTTAAACGTTTGCATTTTAGTTGGGTTAATTTTGTCTTACTTGAGGGTAATTGTTTTGACAGCGTGATTTCGTGTACTACTTGATTCTTGGTATGATTTACATGTACATGAAGAATGACATAGTTGTTTTTCACTTTTTTTATGTCGATGTCAGAAGTGAAAATTGTTACATCTAATTATTAATGTGTAATCGTTTGATTTTAATAGAACTTTGTGCATGAAAAATAATGTACATTTTGTATATGTCCTACATTAACCCTTTCACTGCCATAGGGACGGCATATGCTGTCTCTAGTATTTTCGGCGTATTTGCCATATGGACGGCTTTTGCCGTTTCTATAATAACAATAATAATAATAATAATAATAATAATAATAATAATAATAATAATAATAATATTAATATATTAATAATAATAATTATAATAATAATAATGATAATAATAATGATAATGATAATAATAATAATAATAATAATAATAATAATAATAATAATAATAATGATAATAATAATAATAATGATAATAATAATAATAATAAAATGATGATAATAATAATAAATAATAATAATAATAAAAATAATAATGATGATAATAATGATAACAATAATAATAATAAATATATAGATTACTATACCATCGACAATAATTATTATTATAATACAAGCAGAATTGGAAACTTACATAATTATTATAATACTTAGAACAAATAATAATAATTATATTAATTAATACTATAGTATTTCTTAAAAATCTTCTGGCACATAGGTGATCAATAAATAACCCTCTGGCAGCGAAAGGGTAAAGACTTGCTTTGTTATTTTGCCGGTCTCTTACCGCTGTGGACTCAAATCCCGACTGAGGTACTTTCTTGTCAAGATGCTATCTAGCAAGTTCTCCTCACGTGCCTGTTTGTGCCTGAAATAATGCTCAACCTCCACTAGTAAAACTTAAAAAGTCTTTGCGCTTATACTAATTGTTTTCAATTAAATACATGTATGTATGTTCATGACTTAAGTATACCTCATACCATTTTTTGCATAAATATAAACTTTGTTAACGAATGGCTGATAAGCCTACATTAAGAGGGGGTTTATGAGTTTTCATTGATTGTCAATGCTTTAATTAATTGTTGGAATGTTATATTTTTAAGTAAAAATGCATGAGTGATAATGTATTATTGTCAATTCTTCATAATTTTACATGTAGTAGTAATATATATATATATATATATGCTTTTGGCTTCATTCGTAAAAATATCGTAAAAGTGCATACACAAAGAAGAAAATATTTAAGCAGCATGCCTCGAGATTCATTTTTATTTTTATGAAAACTCTGAATTTTGTTTAAAGGGAAAAATTGTGAAGTGAATGAAGAATGTAGTGTACACACTGCAAGCGCCACTTCTAGTGCACGTAAATATCCTAAAACAGGTGAAATATACGAAAATTGCCATTTTCTGCGTAAGTAGAAGTAGATATATGATGACAAATACCGCTATATCATTCAAAAACACTTTCAACCCAAGTAAATTATCAAATAATGGTCAAATTATGCAAAAATATTTCTTGCCGTGAGTCACGCAATAGGAATATGGATATCATTAAGCAGAACCAATCATGAACTGCATGCAACAAAGTCGTGTAAATTATCACTTGAATCTTGAATATTTTTATTTTTCTTATCATCATTAGTACATTAATTTTCAAGTTTGATTTTCTTGATTTTTTTTTACTCATCTTGAAGTATGCAGCTTTAAATGCTTTTTTTACGAAACAAATACGAAAAAAAGAAAGCAAATAACGATATGTTGCATAAACTTATTAATATTTGGACTTCAAGGTGGTTTTATATAATCGTAAAGTAGAAAACCACAAAATCTGATCCCCACTAAACTGGAATCCTCAGTTAACCGGACATTTTTAAAGTTCCCTATTATCATTACATAAAAAGGTATGTAATATGTTCTTGTAATAGTTCATTTTAATTTAATTTATTTATATATTAATTCTGCTGTACAACTTTTTGTCATGCATTCTTTTTTATTGTACATATTGTGATGCTTTGTTTTTATACACTGTTCTGTATTATAAAGTTTGTAAATTCGTATGGTTTTTGGATCATATGACATTTTTAAAAATAAAACCTTGTTTGTTTTCTTGTATAAGCCATATTATATTATTTCGAAAAGTTGTTTCAATACTTTATTGTTTTGTACATTTTATGAGCATTGTTTTGCATAGTTATTTTTTCTTGTCAAAATTGTTTGTTATGTGATATATCAAAATATGTTGTTACATACAGTAATACATTATTTATATAGTGTTTTATATAATACATACATTGTTTTGTAAACAATATTTTCGTAAAACATTGTTTTTATATAGAATAATTCTTTTTTTTTTTTTGTTTGTATCAGTATTTCATAATGCATTATTGTGTATAGCATATAAAATATTGTATTTTCAAAATATCTTTATATGAAACATTGTGCTGCATTAAAAATTGTTTTGTATAAAGTATATTTCATGTAATAAATTGGTTTCCATTTCGTATAAATATATTGTTTTGAAGAATACTTTATATCAAACATTTTTTGTGCATACAATATCTTAAAACACATTGTTTAAGTACAGGTATAATCATAATATTATACAAGTTCTCTTGTAATACACTTACATTGTTCCGTGTATCATATTTCGTTTTACAAATGAACATTGCTTTCATAGTATATTTTATATATGTATAATGCATTGTTTTGTATACAATATTTCATGAAATAATGTACGTTATTTCGTACATTATTTTGAAAAGTATATTTTTCATTGTTCTGTATGTAATGTATTCCCGAGCGGGCTTTTGATTATAAGACTATTTAACGTTCAACTACTTATTTACAGTTTATCATATACATATAATTTTTCTTATGGTTACCTTACCATTGATTGATTGGACAAAGTAATGATTACTGATTATATGGTGAACAATTAAACGATATAATTAAGAACAGAAACAAACTATATAATAACTATTTAATACAAAAAAAACACTTGATGAAAATCACACAATATTTACAGCTTAATGCGAGCTTATAGTCATCCAATATCAATAAAGAAGCTGGGCTTCTATATCGATTGGTAATTGTTCACCTCACCAAAATAATATATACAACTGATGTTCATCCAATATCAAAGAAGCTGAGCTTCTATGATAAATAGGACGATCTCTATAGCCAACGTTCAGCAGCTAGAGCAATTTTATCCTACTTTTGTATTCCCAAAGAAGCCGAGCTTTTAAGGGATTTACTTATAGGACTTCGATGCCCACGGTTTATCTTCCTGGATAGCTTGAAGTGTTACCTTCGCTTTCCAATCCGAAAAGTGATTTTAAAGTATGTGTGTGTATTTGCGTTTATTTATACTCGCCACCGGTTGCCCATATGAGTCCTCCAGAAGAGTATTAGTCATTTTATTTTTTTCTGAGGATAGTGCAATTACAGATACAGAAAGATGCCCCAATTCCAGAAGCTTCTCCTGGTTCTTTAGCGTGCCAAGTGTTTAAGCACCCATACACGGGACCTCGATTTAAAGTCTCATCCGAAAGACTGATTAGTAATTTTAGTTGGCCAGCCCGGGAATCGAACCCACAATGTCGAGATTACAAGTCTCGCGCTCTAACCGATTGAGCTATGCGGGCTGGCTATGTGATTATAAATGCGACTTCTGTTATATATGGATAAGAGAAGCGCCAATACTGGATTACTTCCCCTTGTTCTAAATAATCTCCTTCCCAAAGTGCGAAATAATCTCTAAACTTAATGATATATTGAAATTAAACTTACCTTTTAAATTTAGCATACTAATAGACTCTTCCCGACAGATATAACATAGTAATAAACAAATACGACGTAAACAAAACATTTAACTGAACCAAACTTACCAAATAAGTAATAATTGTTGTCATGCAAATGACGTTTTTTAAATTAAAGAGACGTAACTCTTGTATTACTATACACGCGCATTCATACATTAATAAATTCGCCACATGTATATTGTATTGTATGTTATACATTGTTTTGTATATAACGTATTGTTTAGTAAAAGAAAGAAATTGATATATATTTAAATTGAAAATGCGTTTTTTTTTCAGATAAATAATGCACACTCCAAGCAAAAATGGCATAAAATTATAATAAATTCGAGACTTCCCGCAGACCTGAGGGATATACGATAGACCATGCTTTGTTGTTCAACATCGTAGTAAACATTGATATATATTTCCATTATATCATGCTTATACAAAAAAGAATGATAAAAGTTGTGATGTAACTTTCTAGACGTCATTTTGGTTTATTAACGTCACATCTGAAGTCAAATGATGTGTTACCATTCTTGTTTGGTGCCATACAGATATCGTGTAATCATTAATTTGATTTTCATATCTGTTTGATAGGGAATAGTGTGAATCGTGTTAGAATACATTGTTTTGTATACTATTTCTTATAATACTTTGTTTTGTGTAATATATTTCTTAAAACATCATATATAGAATATGTAATAATACACATTTTTGTATAGTATATTTTGCTAAACATTTAATTTTTCTTTAGTTTATGTTTTGTATACATGTATAGTATGTTTTGTCAAGCATTGTTTGGTTTAGCTCATAGCAAATATTGTCCAACATGTTCTTTGTAGTACATTTAGTCATCCGTTATGTAGCCTTTGCAGCAAATATTTTGTCAAATATTGTGTTATACATAGAATGTTTTGTCATACAACGGTTCGTGTAGAATATTTCGTGCAGTATATATTTTTTAATTTTGTATATGAAGGCACTGTATATACTCAAACATGTTTATAACATATTTATCTTAGTAGTTGATAAGTTGTTCTGACGTATGGAGTCTCAAGACTACGTAAAACTTAAAAGAAATTATATACTTTAAAAATACCATTTTCCTTTTATAGCACTGAACATTCAAATGGCATCCTTTCAAAATGTCATTTCCTTCAAAAGCACTTAGACTCTTGAAAACGGACATCTAACTGGGGGTGTGCAAAGGAATAAATGACCTTGCTATCTGACCTGAAATTTAACTCGGCAAGATTTTTAGCGTCTATGACTTCGTTGTCATAATAACAGTAGCAGTGAGTTTAAACGACATATTTGGTTTTAATGACTATGACGCTGATGATGATACGACGACGACGAAAATGACGACGATGGAGATGATGAAGTTAATCCTGACAACGTTGATGATGATAATAGTAATAATGATTGCAACGACAACAACAACAACGACGACGACGTCGATGATGATGATGATGATGATGATGATGGTGATGATGACATGCAGTATTGCTCCTTGTGTGTCTGACGAGGAAATAAGAAAAACAACATTTAGTATTACATTAATTGATCTTTTCGTTTCCCATTAAAGTTCAAATGTAACATCAATCAATACATGTTTTAAAAGTTAGTTTAATAGAGACAATTAATGTAGAATAGATATGGTGTTCATCAAAAATCTGAAAAGAAAAAAAAATACATCAATATTAGAAGCATCATTTGCTTGATTTCTTCGGGTTAAACTATGTATGCATAAATTATGCCCAATATGTTGGTTCATTTTTCATGATTAATAGTTAAACATTTTAATGACTACGACTCAGTCAATGTCCATCATAAATTATCACACTTTTATCACAAAAATAACATTTACATTACATTTTCTGAGCATAACCACATTTTGATCATTCTTCGGGTTGAATTGTATTAAATAAATAAATCAAGACATTCGAACTTCCTGAGGCAGTAAGCAGAAAGTTAAATTTCATTTTATTTTACTAACCTTACTTGATTTTTCATTTTATAAGAAGCGTTTACTTGCCAAAGTATGGGGGCGTCCGTGTCTGAGTGGTAAAGGTCGTTGACTTTAAACTGCTTGCAACTCACCGATGTGGGTTCGAATTCCGACAAAGACCTTTGATTTTATTTTCATGTGAGGAAGCTATCCATCTAAAGGTCAATTTAGGTGTCCGTTTGTGTCTTACATAATGCACAAAAAGGTCGTCTAAGGTCTTCCTCCACCAATAAAGCTGATACGTCGCCATATGACTTATGTGTACGACTGTGTCGGTGTGAAGTAAACCCATGACTAACAAACAAACAAACAAACAAACAAACAAAAAAAACTAACCAAATCGCATTCCCAACGCAGCTCCACATACAGGTTCCATAGTATTAAAGCCATTGACAGCATATCCGCCACATCCTCCCATGTGTATTTCTATTTGAAAGAAATAGCATTGGTTGAGATATGTCGAAGCCTTCTTTCCAGTATCTAGCCAATGGTGCATAAGATCCGAGTAACAACACGTTAACTGATAGTTAGTAGGGTCTTTATGATCCGGGTTGAAAAAGAAGGCTATATAACTGTGAGGTCTTCTGTCGCAATTTTTAAACGTGTAATCCTGACCATTTGCCTTGTAGCCTTGAACATTTTTTGCTTTGGCAACACCTCTGGGTAGAAAGCCCAAGTATAGATAGGGTTGCATTGTTTCATAGTTGTGTGGACGTGTATAGTCAACATAACTATTATATTGGATACTAAGAGGCACAGAAGATTTTGCTGATATTTGGTTCATAATGGTGTCGTATTGTTTTCCGGTAGTTCTCTGGTGTTTGATAAGAACTTCGGTTGTATTGTAATCTATCAGGATTGGTTTTATGGCCACACCAGCTTCTCTCGAGATAAACATATAGCCATACGTGTCGTAAAATTCACAAAATGCTTTGTAAGTTTGCCCTTCGCCATTATAAAAGGTATATTCGCCACTTAGAATGTTTGGGTTACCTTGCTTTAAATCTTTGCACGAGTCTGAAAAAACGGAAAAGACAGTATATAGAAACAGGGTTACCAACATTATCAGATGGTGTAGTGTAAATCATTCAAAAATATCTCCGATCAAGATTTACAAGATTATCTTTTCTGAAGTAAGATTTCTCTAAATTCCGGAAATCAATATATTTATATACCACGGAGTCTTTTAATATTGCCCATCGTTTGTTTCGTTTCAATAGCATAAAAATCGGTATAGCTGGAGTAGAAGAAAATTGAAACTACTTATTGAAAGAATGATGCTAAGCCTAGAACTAGCTGAACAACAACAACAAAAAGAAACATTAATGTAAACAAAAAGAAACATGAACGTAATGACCAAGAAAGAGCGGATGTGCCCAGTGTTTGTTACAAACATTAATATCGCGTATTGACTACCATAGTGCATGTAAGTTAAATGTTATGCATTCCGACCCCCCCCCCCCCAAAAAAAAAAGAAAAAAAAAGAAAAAAAAACAAAAAAAAACAAAAAAACAGTTGAATTATGACAAACTTAGAACATGAAGAACAAACGTACGTGGCACCATTGTCTGTCTCATGTGCAATATGTTAGATCTGAATTAACAAAGTGTCAACAAACTTATATCATTTTTTTCCAATAGACTTCATATTCTTATCAACGGCATATCATAGCATGTCATAATGTCCATGATGCACGTTTTCGACAATAACCACATTCACCAAGTTATTTAGCCATACGTATTTTTCTTACTTCCAGTTGTTATTAGCAAAATTTATGCATGCAACCCCCATGAGTGTTTTTCCACTTTTATCATGCTTCAGTCTGTTTTTCTTAAACTTTGGGATATCTTTTTGTTGTCACAGGGTATGCGTGCATCAGTCTGTATTGTTTAATTCAACTTTAGGCGTCGTTGCTGTTGACACCGTTAATACATGAGTAATATACATACATTTTTGTATGTTTATTCTTTATCTCTTTAGCCATCGTATCGTATCTATTTCATTGGTGTATGCCAGTCTGTTTTCAAATGTATGCATCTACATCATTGCTGTTAAAATACTGTATGCATTTTTCAGTGTGTATGTTTTTTATCATCTGTAGGCATAGTTGCTGTTGACACGATGCATCCACGCATGATGCATGGATGTACATCAGTTTGTATGTTTTGTTTTATATTTAGGCATCAATGTAATTAACACTATACCCGTGTCAATTTCTTTCTTTTATAACATGAAAAACATTCTAAATTACTTACGATATCCATGACAAACTTGTATATAGAAATACGCAACGATTACAGTGAACAGGATTGTTTTTCGTATTGACATCTTGATCTGAAAATTTCATGAAAATGGTTACTGTAAACATTTTCTTCGGTGTACCTGCGAGAAAATATAATCTTGTGGCAAGAATTACTTACAATAAAATCAATCAAAAGTTTCCTGAAACATTTTCATCTTAATATAATCGACTATATATAATGCATATATAAAAGTATATAATGTAATAATGTTTCATTGTAAATTTCAAATTTTGATGACGAAAATAAAGAAACGCATGTATGTACATGATAAAGAATACTTACTTAGTGTAGATTCAATGCTTAAACAAGAATGTCGAACGACACATATACCCCCCTTTCTAGCAATTGACTCACATAATTGGTAATTGTATTACAGAAACTTGCCAAAAATGGGTACATGGAAGTGTTCAATTATGGAAAAATCAACAGAAACCATTTTGACATTTAAGGCCCATGTGACATTGACCTTTGACCTAATGACCCCTAAATCGTTAGAGGTCATCTACTACTTATGACCAATAACTAGGTGAAATATGAAGACTTTGTGATGAATTCTTTTCAAGATAATCAGCCGAAACCCTTTTGACATTTAAGGCCCCTGTGACCTTGACCTTTGACCTAGTGACCCCAAAATAAATAGGTGTTATCTACTAGTTATGACCAATCACTATGTGAAATATGAAAACTTTGTGATAAATACTTTTCAATAAAATCAGCAGAAACCATTTTGACATTTTAAGGTCCCTGTGACATTGACCTTTGACCTAGTGACCCAAAATCAATAGGGGTCATCTACTAGTGATAACCAATCACTATGTGAAATATGAAGACTTTGTGATACATACTTTTCAAGATAATCAGCGGAAACCCTTTTGACATTTAAGGCCCCTGTGACCTTGACCTTTGACCCCAAAATCAATAGGGGTCATCTGCTAGTGATGACCAATCACTATGTGAAATATGAAGACTTTCTGATACATACTTTTCAAGATAATCAGCGGAAACCATTTTGACATTTAAAGCCCCTGTGACCTTGACCTTTGACCCAGTGACCCCAAAATCAATAGGGACATATACTAGTGATGACATATCACTATGTGAAATATGAAGACTTTGTGATACATACTTTTCAAGATAATCAGCGGAAACCATTTTGACATTTAAGGTCCCTGTGACATTGACCTTTGACCTAGTGACCCCAAAATCAATAGGGGTCATCTACTAGTTATGACCAATCACTATGTGAATTATGAAGACTTTGTGATACATACTTTTCAAGATAATCAGCGGAAACCATGTGGTCTACCGATGGACAGACCGACGGACCGACAGACAGACCGACAGACCGACATTAGCAAAACAATATACCCCCTCTTCTTCGAAGGGGGGCATAATTACGGACGAGTTGTATAAAATTGTATTTTTTATTCATCGACTTCAATAAATTCAGTAATGAATGTACCTGAATATAATATTCTAGTTATCACATAACCAACATAATAATTATTAAAAGTAAAAATAATTATTGTTTTGTTATTGACGCGCATATTATATAATGCTAACATTTAATGCATCTAAATGCTATGTTGGTATAAAGCCAATAACGTGACGTCAATATATATGCACGGTCGAGCAATAAATACTTTTAACAGGGTCGCAAAAGCGACACGGGTATGTGACTTAGCGGTTTTTAGACACATACTCCTACTAGTAAAATGTTAACGTTTGAAGATGCTCTTTTATTTAAAAAACAAACAAGCATTAAGAAAATTAGAACAGCCATGAAAATTAAAACCCAGTAAAACTTTTGAAAATATTCTTAATAACGATGATTATATAATATGAAATATTAGAAATGTGTTTCTTACCGTAATAAGAGACTGTGCCTTTTTCATCTTAACAATACTTTGTTTGTACGTAATGATATGTGTAATCTTAATTGTGCATATGTCGCTAATCGGATTAGTGCAAAATATAAATGTTCGTTAATTCGAAGATTTGAACCATTAATTCCATTTTATAGCGATATTAATGATAAACTTCCCATGTATATTTGTGTAAAGACTTGGCAGTGAATGTTTTCTAAATCAATTGGAAAGAAAACAAACCTCTTTGCATGGTTTTCTTATACATAGAGATCAGCTTTAGAAGGAAGAACAGTCCACTTAACAAATATCCCACCAATGACAGTTAAGCGTAAGTTCTACCTTTAAACATCATGTTAATGTTGCCATGTACACGCCAGATGACACCGTGCAAAAAAGGTCTGTAATAATGAGAGCTCTGGGGTAGCATGTTTGCACATGTACGGTATCAATGTTGTGGTAAATTGAAACCTAAGTTTGGAAATGAGCATTGACATTTAACATTTAAATCTTAATAAAGTTCTTGTTTGCTCAGGGCTACCTTATCGAAAGTTTCATCTATATCAATTACAACAAAGACGTTTGAAATTCAAACCGGAGACATTTGCCGACCTAATAGTTCCAAATACATGTGTGATACTAAAAGAAGCAGATATAAAATTATCCGGTCATTTTAAGGGATAACGCCGATTGTGCGAATGAAACACTAAGGTGACAAAATGCTTTCAAAAATCAAATTTGATATGTTTACTCTCAGAATATTTTATATGCTTACTTTCAATAAGACATGGCACTATTGCAGTGACACTATGTTACGTTTTCATTTTCAAGTTGGTTACTAAATTGACTATATATTTCAATTGATTGTCTGTTTCAATGGTTATTGACCAACAGTTGATACTGGAAAAATGTAAAAAATAAAATATGAATCTGCCTAAAATATAGAAAAGTCTGCCCAAGTCTTTTCATAAATGATACTGAACCTTACAGATAAGTTCCGATGGATATTTACAATTTTGTTTTGTACCACGCGAGTTATTTATCGTTAATGTGAAGAAAATTATAAAATTGAAGGACTCATTGCAAACTGTTAACTTATTTTGTCTTTCGCTGTTCAGTGATTATATACTCTTAGCTTTAATTGTATATTTTAATTAGTATCCTTCAATCTGATTCATTATAATTCAAATTCGTATTTAGTTCGTTTACTTACGGTTTTGTTCGTTTTGGCCATTGAATTGCACAATGTTATCGCTGTTGAATTGCACAACTCCTTCGTTCTTTTCACGTCCACTCCATTGTTATTGATATAAATATTGAATATTTTGATAAAACCAATTTGCTAGTGAAAACTTTCATTCATACATATCCTTTCGACGGATCTCTCAAAAACTACTGGTTATACACATAGGACGTCCATAACGTAATTAAACGGTATGAAAAATAGCCTTTCTGAAAGCCATGTCCATTGAGCGTAGGAAGGCCACCGTTTTTTGTTCGATGTCTAAATCATTTGCTCACTTTGACATGTACTTACATTCATTTCACTACGAGTTTTGAAAAAAAAATCTTCAGAAACATTGGCTTAATGTCCATTTTCTTACGATATTATGATAAAGGGTTAACAAATTGCTAAAATGTTTATATAATCACATAATAAAATCAATTAACAATAACAATTTTAATTAATTACAAAAAAACACATAGGTTTAAGATACCAACCATGTGACTTTCCTGTATCAATTAAATATGTTTCCAAGTTCTCTGTATAAGTCAAATTCTGACGCTATTAGTTGCAAAGAACAAAACTTTTATTTATCCAGCTATATTCGTAAAAATTGATAATTATTGATTTCAAATTATTACGTATTGAAACTCTGTGGATCTGTTACTCAATATCATTCACTACGGTTACTTACACTGCGGCTTATATTGCGTGGACAAATGATCAAAATGCCAATGTAGTTTCAACATACTTTTTTACATTTTCATATACTATGGATTACGTTGCATAACTTTACCGAAATATAAACAAACAGGTAAAAAATGCAGTAGCATCACGTTGAAACAACGGTTAAGTACGTTGGTTCTGCCCACACAAAAACAAAATTCCATTATATAGCGAAACAGCGAAAGCGTAGAAAGCTAGAAAAAAACAAGGAAATGATAAGCTGTGGTTGTCTTACAATATGTTCACATGCAGGCAACACATTTCAATATTGTTTACGTTTTGAAACGCACTGAATGTTTGTAACAAAGAGCTACGTACAACAATAGATTGAGTTGTATCGAACGAAAAAATAAAAATACATAGCATAAGTCACGCATCTACCATAATGTTATAATTTAGATAACAGCAGAGTGTTTGCATATAGATCTGTTCAATATTGCCATTTACACACTTTCCTTCTTGAATACTTATCACTTATATATACAGTATTGTACATACACATTATGTTTTGAAACAACTTAAAACAAAATGTTTTACAGTACTTCAAACACAGTATGGATTAATAAATTTGGGTTGTAATTTCTTGTGCAAGTTGACACTGCATTGTGAACATCCAACTTGTTCGACCTTTGTCTGAACTTTCATCTTCCTGCAATATCGACACATTTTAGGCAACCTGACTGGTGATTTACGATTGAAGTAAATGACAGAGATACTGGGTCCAATTGACTTGCCTGGTATAGTTTAGCAACCTATTTAAACATGTTAAGCACATAACGTTAGCATAAATCATTTATTTTTTTTCCTTAAACAACTTGGTTTGAAAAGTGTTTAATATATAAAACTATATTTTCAAAATGAATGTTTGTCTTGAATTGAAGCCAGTCATTTATCACAATCATGCTATATTTTAATCAGACTCATCACTTTTTAAAGTCCCCAAGCCGTACGTTTTAAAGTTGGTATCAATGTATGTTACATTGCAATTAGTTCTCCTTTCAACCATAGGTACATTTCAATATTTTTGTGCTATATTTTAAAAGCAAGATAGATTGATGTCACAAACCCAGCATGAAATATATAATTGACTGTTAAACCGAATCTTCACAAAGCTGTGCAAATATTATCTTCAGTTGAAGCATCTTGTGAGTAATCTTGGGTGTCTTATAGAGTAGGTAGCTGTTGATAAATGCCATGCCTATCCCAAACTAGGCAAAAAAGGTCCACAAGCATGCACTGCATCTTTGCAAAGAGTAACTACATCTCAAATGGTTATGTCTGTTAACTCCTGAAATTTACAATTGCTTTCGGACATGGCAATTCCGACCTTTCCAATTTTCCCTCCTCGTTTTTCTGCCTACTTGTGATGGTGTCTGAAAGATTATTAGCGATTGGGTAGTAGTATGTATTTCGGTTATATATAGACCGCTCTAGGGACGTGAGGGATGTTGCATTTACTCATTATCCCTCATGTACAGACTCAATCAATCCGAGTCTGCAATTTTCATGTAGTTTTGTTGTTATCAATGATTCCGAAGGATCACTTTGTTTTTTATGATCACTATGTTTTTCAATGATCTCGATTAGAAGTTTCAATAGCATTTCATCAGATGTTGTAAACTCACTAGCACTGGCTTGAGCGGTACTCAATTCTCAACACTCAATAGTGCTGGCATCAATAATCCCGAAGGACCAGAAAAATATAACAACAATAAAGTGAAGTACAGCTGCAACACAGCACTTGACACCTGCTGTTGTGAAGTATAAAAATCTGGAAACAAAGTGATCCTTCTGACGCATAATCACAACAAAAATACGTGAAAATTATAGACTCGGTTTGATTGAGTCTGTACATTAGGGATAATGAATAAATGAAACATCACTCACGCCACTAGCACAGGCTTGAGCGGTACTCAATTCTCAACACTCAGTAGTGCTGGCTTCAATGATATCTATAAAGAGTCTCAACGGCATGTCATCAGATGTTGTAAACTCATCTTCAGATTTTGATATTTTATTATCTTGCTGTCTGCGTTCATTGAGTAAATTATATATTTTTTATCTATAAGTTATTGCAATGTCATTTCATCTAACATGGAACAATTTTCCAAACGTCATCATGTGGAGAATCTTTCATGTTTTTTTTCTAAATTATGTGCCTTTAGCTAGATCTGTTTCTTTATCATGTTGACCACGCGAGTTGCAGCTTTCGTCTCAATCTCTGTCTCTGTTGCTTCATCTGTTGTTTTATTATGTTAGCCACGAGAGTCTTAAGTTGCCTTGTTCGTCTCTGTATTGCTTCATCTGCTTTTATTATGTTAGCCACGAGAGTCTCAAGTTGCCTTGTTCGTCTCTGTCTCTGTTCTACATCTGTTTATTTGTTACGTTAGAACTTGAATGACTGTTTTAAAATGGAAATAGAAAGAACAGCATATTCTAAATGTATGTCGTTTTACTATCTTAATAATTTCATAAAAAAAATATTTTGTATATTTACTATTTTTAATTACAGAAATGCATTAAATATATACACATGTGTTGTAAAAATTTTATATTCTTTTATAATTACTTATAAATTGTGTCGAATTACTTTCATTTTGAAGTTCAGTAAAGTCTTTCCTGTTTTAAACGTCGTTTCAATCATTACTTAAAAGATAATATAATATGGTTAGCAAATGGCTTGCTACCGGTCATGTTTTTAACGAAAAGTGATATTATTAGGCACTGGTTTGCTTATATATTCTCAGCAGCAGAAATAAGAAAACAACTTATACAGTTAAAAAATTAAAAGATAAATAAAATTTAAACGAGTACAATTTTAGTCACAGTAAAATGATCAACAAAAGTATAATAATATTAATCAAATACTCACATGTTTGATATCAATGCACTGTTAAAAATGAACGAGCACTATTTATGAAAAATATTATAAACAAGATCAACAAAGAAAGGCGGCGTTCAATGAACGCAACCCCAATATGACCCAGCAACAAGAACCAATGGGAAGGAGCCCAGGCGGACCCCAAACATAAAAAGTACAGGGCAAAGACAGGTTAATCATTATATGATAAATAATTTGTTAACTGATTAGAAATTCAAAGAGAAAATAATAATAGGCCCACAAAGGGGA